CACAATAATCATGTAAAAAATTTGAAACTTCTGTCACTTTTCAACGTAATCTCCCTGCAGCTGTATACATTTTTCCCAACGTCGACGCCATGATTCCATGGCCGCTGCGAACGCTTCTGTAGGAGTCTGTTTTGACCACTAGAAAATTGCTGATGCAATAGCGGCACGACTGGTGAATGTGCGACCATGGAGAGTGTCTTTCATCGTTAGGAAAAGCCAAAAATCTCTAGGAGCCAGGTCAGGCGAGTGGGGAGCATGAGAAACCACTTCAAGGTTGTTTTCACAAAGAAATTGCTGCGTCGCATACGCCCGATGCTCTGGTGCATTGTCCTGGTGAAAGAGCACACGTGCAGCCTTTTCCAGCCGTTTTTCTTGCAATGCTGGAAGGAGCTTGTTCTTCAAAACATCTTGGTAGGATGCACCTGTCACCGTAGTGCCCTTTGGAATGCAATGAGTAAGGATTATACCATCACTGTCCCAAAGTATGGCCATCATAATTTTTTCCAAGACTGGCACTTACCCGGAATTTTTTGGTGGCGGTGAGTCTGTGTTCTTCCATTGAGCTGACTGGCGCTTCATTTCAGGAGTGAAAAACGGCATCCATGTCTCATCCATTGTCACAATTGATGAAAAGAAAGTCCCGTTCATGCCTTCATCGTGTGTCAACATCGCCTGGCAAATTACCATGCGCGCAGCCTTGGTGGTCGTCCGCCAGCATTCGTGGCACCCACCTGGAGGACACTTTCTGCATTCGCAGGTCTTCATGCAGGATTGTGTGCACAGATCCCACGGAAATGCCAACTTTGGAGGCGATGTTTTCCACACTCAATCGGCGATCCTCCAAAACAACTTTCTCAACTCGCTCGACCATGTTGTCAGACCAGCTTGTGCGGGGCCAAGATTGTTTTTGGTTCGTTGTCACACGACGTTCGGCCTTCTTTGAACTGTCGCGCCCACGAACGCACATTTTTCACATTCATGACACCATTACCACATGTCTCACTCAACTGGCGATGAATTTCAATGGGTGTCGCACCACGCAAGTGGAGAAAACGAATGATTACTCGCTGTTCTTGTAACGAAAACGTCGCCATTTTAAGTATCAAAAACACTCCTCACTCTTGCTCACATCACTAAAAATCTGTGTGCCGTACAGTGCTGCCATCTCTGTCACACATTCACAAAGAGTGCACATGTATTTTAAACTAAACCACATGTGTCTATCTGCTCCCAGTCCTGAGAAAAAAAAGTCGGAGACCTTAAAACTTGAACGCCCCTCGTATGAGGCTTTGGTCCTGAGTGTTCAAAATGATTATCATTGGTTTTCATTGGACTTGATATGTTGGCTGGGTTTCTTGCATAAAATTTTTACCTCCATTTCTCCCTTAGTTTCAGGTCTCTGCACGGTTTATCGCAGTTTTATTGTACATTTTTCATGTTATCTCCCATGGACATAGCCGGGTCTCAAGTACTTATATAGCTGCAGTTATACTGACATGGGTTGTCCAGTGATTGAGGTTAGCTCTTTCTAAGGGTCCCAACAGATTGGGTTTCTCCCCACTCTTCTGAGGACGGAGACAGAGCCAATTTCCGAAGCGTTATGTTCTATAGAATAGCGGGCGAAGTTCGAAAACCCAGTATTTCTGAGTGCTATTCAACATCGTCAGAACGCTTTAGAATCTACTCTTTCGAATCGCTCATCTGTCGAGACTTCACTTACTATCCACACTGATTTACTCGTACATATGTGTATTGATTTCCTTTTCTTTTGCTATAATCTCCTGATGCACCATCTCTCGTACGTAACGGAACCTACCATCTTGTATCTAGAAGCTGTTTCCGGTATTGTAACCCGCTACGCAGTTTACAGTCAATTACAGATATGCACTCGGCATTAACATCATTGTAACGTATTTTCTTCGTGGTTCAAATGGTCGCTACTTCCTTCTGCTGCCGTAGTTTCCGCGCTCTTCTCGTGTCATCGGAGGGCGCGGATAGGGATGATCGTGCGATGTGGAGATCTGTAGACTGGAAGTTAATTTATGGAGTCTGTACTTCTCTCTGTAACAGGGAAATGTCCGCTGCCGAATTTGGTCCAACGCTTTTATTGTCAGTTATAGAGGAGAGTATGGCCCAGCCCCAGGTCCATGGTCACGTGCGGTCTAATAGGCCTATACAGTATGACCCAAAGTTACTGCTGACGTGGGATTAAAATGAAGTCATCGTGTTACATTATTAAGAATCTGCTGCCTAGCAACGGGGACGTGTTTACGGAGTCGTTTCCTAGAAACGGTCATTGTTTACGCAGTCACCGCCTGGAAACGGGTCTGTACGCCACAATATTGTAACGTGTATACCCATTGCTAGGGATCAGCTAGGTAAACACGTAGCCGCGGAGAAAAATTCTTGGCCAACCATAGACAAAGGGCTTTCCATTGCCGGGCAACGGACCTGTAAACAACCTTCAGCTGGTTGCGTTACAACAATATCAGACGTCTGTTGCTAGGCAACGAGCAGTAAACAAGAGAGGCCGTGTTTTCTATGTGTTCCGTGCGGAGACTATAGCAGGGTTTACAGAATAATATCAGGAGTACACCCGTGTCGAGGCGGGGTCGAATACGTCCACCGTGACCTGCGAGTCGTAGGAGGCGACGAAAAGGGAAGTCTCAAATCTGAGACGGTAAAATGTGGTCGCGAGTCCCAAGAGACTCGGACACGAGAAAGACTGCACTGGCAAGAGCCAGTAGCATATACAAAAGGCAGACCCGTCCTCTCGTCAGAGAGGGCGGCCCACAGAAACAAGACCGTAAATGCCAAACAGTAATAAATATCTGGTCATGACCCCCAAATGGGGCTCGACACCAAGACTTACTGACTGACTGACTGACTGACTGTCGCAATGTGACTTGGACTTGGAGACTAGTTCACTTTGACTAAGACTAGGTCAGGTCATGCGCCCCACATTGGGCTCGATACCAAGACTGACTGCCTGCCTGACTGACCATCAGTCGCAATGTGAATTTGACTTTGACTTTGAGACTAATTCATTTTATATTTGTCCTTAGAAGAGCAGCGTCGGTATTAGGCAAGAGAACAGACTAGAAGACCTTTCACCGAGATTAGCGTGCGAGAGTGTCGTAACACTGAAGAGGAAACTTCAGAAGACGTTTTAAGTTGTGATTAACCATTGCGAGTGTAAAAGTGACTGTTCAAAAAATATTCGTTAAAATCCGAAACCCACACAATTTCTTGTCGCATTGCCTCGCAAACACGCGCAATATTCTCATAGTTGCTGTGTTGACACGGAAAACAAAACGAAGAAGTTATATAGGATAACTAAACAGGATGCATTCTTTGAAGAAAATACAGTATTTCACAAGAAAATAAATGTAAACTTTAATGTCATCATAAGAGTGTGGGAAGTTTCAATCCAAAATCGAATTTATTCTCCATATATTGCTGATACAAATTTATTTTCCCGCCTAACTGGCAATTCTTGGACGGGTCATCGCGTAATGCAGTTGAAGTTTGCAGATATTATAAAACAAGACTGCGACAGGAAATCACACAGACACAATGTATTGTGGCGCAATTGCTCAGAGCAAGAACTGTGGAGCCAGAGTAACAGCCGATGCTAGGTAATTCAGCCGCACGCAACAATACAGGAATTGTCAGGAAACGAGATGTAACGCGTACAGCCGTTGCTATGGAAAAATTATATAAACACGTTTCCACGGAAACGAATACATACAACAATAGAAATGCTATGTTTTATATGCGGTCTCTGCCGAGGGTTTATAGAAAAACACAGAAGATCATTTAAGTCAGTTGAGCCCCTAGGCGCCAACTGCCAGCATTGAGGCTCAGGAACAAAACAATTGAAGCATCAGAGTTAAGCCGGGTTTACATGGGTCAAGTAAACGGTCATGTAGAGCGGTAAAGTTAATTAGAATATTTTTCTTGCATCGTGTAAACAGTTCCGGTCAAGTCAAGTACCGACTTGCGTCAAGTAGCGAGACAAGTCAAGCAGTTCTGCACGGTGGACAAGTGACTTGACTGCTACCCCCATCACGAATTTTACCACTTGATCGCCTACTTGACCGCTGACTTTACACGTGTAAACAAGAGATGATGCAAGTGAGCAAGCCGGCAGGGCTAATATTACCAGCTTTCTCATATCAGGCATTTGATTCGTATACACTTCGTGTACATCTACTTGAACATCTACTGAACTACGTGAAAACACGTTTGTCAGGCTGTAGTTAAGTCAAGTCAAGTAGAACCAAACCACGCAAGTACGGAGGCAAGATATTTGACCCAGGACTTGACTCGTGTAAACCCGGCATTGAGTGGGCATTTGTATATTGTAAATTCGATCTCTTTTTTACTGCGGTATATTGAGAGGTCGAAAAAGTTGATGGAGTTGTGTAATTTTTTTTTTGTAGCGAATTTTATGGAGGGTTGTTCTTCGTCACCGCAGTCAAGAATAGCGAAATCAACAAATCAATAAACCGACGAAACCATAAGTAACATGGAATATGCAGGGACAGAATACAAATGAGTATGTACCTTAAAACAAAACTCTCATATAGCACATCATATATTACACACCAAACACATGCATGACAACAGCACAATAAACCATATAACCTAGAACAATCTGAGGCATTTACACAGATGAAAAACTAAAAACATTACAACAGTGCAGCAGTTTCCTTTATCAGAACTACTTATACATCTTGTGATGGCCAGTTAGGCCGAAACATGTAGTTATATACAATAAATAAGAAAACAAGGATGGATATTAACCGACGTTGTACGGCAAGAAGTGGAACACAAAGCCAGATCTACATTTATAGAACTTTTGGAGCTGATATAAATCAATTAAAATTATTGTTATTTCTTGGGTGTCAGTCTGTCTGCTTCCGGGAAGTCCTTCTGCGCATTTGTTGTGGCCCTCGTTTGTTCCTGGTTGGTCTCCCTCTAGGATTGATGTATAACTATTCAGGTAAATTTTCATTGTCTACCCACTGAGACGCGAATTCTATTACATCAGAAAAGAAGAATCTGTAGACGCAATAAGGGCAGGTCCATCCAAGCAAATGCGTAGTATTCAGAGGAGGCGCCAGGCATGTAAAATGAAAGGCAAAATTACATTCATCACAAATAAGCATGCGCTCTCCATGATCACTATCGCCACACATACGACAAAATAAGAGTTGTTGACTTCTTGATTCAAAAGGGATCTCTGTGATAATTTCTCCACCTGGATGGGGTCGAACATTAATGATTGAAAACACCTGTCGATCAACTGGACAAGTATTGGCACATTGTCCCCATTTCTTGATACAGTCCGCACAGAAAATATGGTCGCAAGTGTCTATAGTCCCAACTTCCTGTGTGGTAAATTGTTCCAAGCAAATGGGACAAGCCGGACAGTTCTCTGACTCTTTATCCTTACGGCATTGTGACTTGTGAGCTGCAGCGCCAGATGATGTTGATGGCATCGGTTCCGCTCCAATATTACCAGACTCGGTTGTGGGAGCAGCAGTGGAGTGACGAGAGAAAATCCTAACTTCATCCGATACCCCTTCTCCTTCTGTCTCAGGACAACTCACCCTAACAATATTCCTATTTCTTTCAGTCCTAGAATATCTCATTGATGTGTGTCCAGTGACTTCTCCTTCATCGTCGCAAACAGGCTCATCGTCATGGTAACTCTTGTCGTTCTTAGTCACAATTCCCTGCACTGCAGCATATACTATCACAGGGCAATCAGAGTCACTGCTTTCGTTCTCAGAGTCCCCACTATTCGACCTGCTGCTCTCTCTGCATGGTTTAATAGGGCTTTCATCACTGTCATTGCAGCTGTCAGATTCTTCTGTTCGACAACAGATTCTTCTGTTCTTCTGTTCTGTTCCTTCTGTCTCAGGACAACTCACCCTAACAATATTCCTATTTCTTTCAGTCCTAGAATATCTCATTGATGTGTGTCCAGTGACTTCTCCTTCATCGTCGCAAACAGGCTCATCGTCATGGTAACTCTTGTCGTTCTTAGTCACAATTCCCTGCACTGCAGCATATACTATCACAGGGCAATCAGAGTCACTGCTTTCGTTCTCAGAGTCCCCACTATTCGACCTGCTGCTCTCTCTGCATGGTTTAATAGGGCTTTCATCACTGTCATTGCAGCTGTCAGATTCTTCTGTTCGACAACAGATTCTTCTGTTCTTCTGTTCTGTTCCTTCTGTCTCAGGACAACTCACCCTAACAATATTCCTATTTCTTTCAGTCCTAGAATATCTCATTGATGTGTGTCCAGTGACTTCTCCTTCATCGTCGCAAACAGGCTCATCGTCATGGTAACTCTTGTCGTTCTTAGTCACAATTCCCTGCACTGCAGCATATACTATCACAGGGCAATCAGAGTCACTGCTTTCGTTCTCAGAGTCCCCACTATTCGACCTGCTGCTCTCTCTGCATGGTTTAATAGGGCTTTCATCACTGTCATTGCAGCTGTCAGATTCTTCTGTTCGACAACAGATTCTTCTGTTCTTCTGTTCTGTTCCTTCTGTCTCAGGACAACTCACCCTAACAATATTCCTATTTCTTTCAGTCCTAGAATATCTCATTGATGTGTGTCCAGTGACTTCTCCTTCATCGTCGCAAACAGGCTCATCGTCATGGTAACTCATGTTGTTCTTAGCCACAATTCCCTGCACTTTAGCATATACTATCAGAGGGCAATCAGAGTCACTGCTTTCGTTCTCAGAGTCCCCACTATTCGACCTGCTGCTCTTTCTGCATGGTTTAATAGGGCTTTCATCACTGTCACTGCAGCTGTCAGATTCTTCTGTTCGACAACTTGGAGTCTTCCTTGTTTCAGTCAATGCGGGTAACTGTGGAGGGCAATCAGTATCACTGCTCCTCTCAGAACCACTATGACTCCTTTTTCTCCTCTTTTTGCATGGTTCAATAGGTGTGTCATCAGTGTCACTGCAGTTGTCAGTGTCTTCTATTCGACGAACCGGTGTCTTCACCTTTGCAGTCACCGCTGGTAAATGAGGACAATCAGCATCTCTGCTGTTCTCAGAAGCAATATCACCCCATTTTCTGCGTTTCCTGCTTGGACTGTCATTGTCTTCTTTTCGAAGAACCGGTGTCTTCACCTTTGCAGTCACCGCTGGTAAATGAGGACAATCAGCATCTCTGCTGTTCTCAGAAGCAATATCACCCCATTTTCTGCGTTTCCTGCTTGGACTGTCATTGTCTTCTTTTCGAAGAACCGGTGTCTTCACCTTTGCAGTCACCGCTGGTAAATGAGGACAATCAGCATCTCTGCTGTTCTCAGAAGCAATATCACCCCATTTTCTGCGTTTCCTGCTTGGACTGTCATTGTCTTCTTTTCGAAGAACCGGTGTCTTCACCTTTGCAGTCACCGCTGGTAAATGAGGACAATCAGCATCTCTGCTGTTCTCAGAAGCAATATCACCCCATTTTCTGCGTTTCCTGCTTGGACTGTCATTGTCTTCTTTTCGAAGAACCGGTGTCTTCACCTTTGCAGTCACCGCTGGTAAATGAGGACAATCAGCATCTCTGCTGTTCTCAGAAGCAATATCACCCCATTTTCTGCGTTTCCTGCTTGGACTGTCATTGTCTTCTTTTCGAAGAACCGGTGTCTTCACCTTTGCAGTCACCGCTGGTAAATGAGGACAATCAGCATCTCTGCTGTTCTCAGAAGCAATATCACCCCATTTTCTGCGTTTCCTGCTTGGACTGTCATTGTCTTCTTTTCGAAGAACCGGTGTCTTCACCTTTGCAGTCACCGCTGGTAAATGAGGACAATCAGCATCTCTGCTGTTCTCAGAAGCAATATCACCCCATTTTCTGCGTTTCCTGCTTGGACTGTCATTGTCTTCTTTTCGAAGAACCGGTGTCTTCACCTTTGCAGTCACCGCTGGTAAATGAGGACAATCAGCATCTCTGCTGTTCTCAGAAGCAATATCACCCCATTTTCTGCGTTTCCTGCTTGGTTGAGCACGGCTCTCATGACTGTCCGTGTCTTCTATTCGACGAACCGGTGTCTTCACCTTTGCAGTCACCGCTGGTAAATGAGGACAATCAGCATCTCTGCTGTTCTCAGAAGCAATATCACCCATTTTTCTGCGTTTCCCGTTTGGTTGCGCACGGCTTTCATAACTGTCATTGTCTTCTTTTCGTCGAGGTGAGTTTTCCCGCCTTTTAGTCATTCTTTTCGCACGATATTTCCTCTTTGTTTAACCTAGTGCAATAAAATATTGTAGCGTGTTTGGGTATGTCACGCTACAAATAACTTTACGCCGTATTAGATATAGATAGAATCACACACTTTACAATCGTTGTCACTCGTAGTATTTCAATGACTGCTTACACTATATCTCGATGAAGTGCTAGACTGTCTTTCTCGGCGATTAATTCCAGACTGACTGCTTCTCGTCGAAGCTGGGCTATTTATACCCTATGCCGCTGCTATGGAAATGAACCCTCTGTTATAACTATGGAAACGTTGTGTGGGAACTGACCACATTCAAGCAAGTGTGACAATGCTTAGCAACAACGAGTAAACAACAGTTGCCTGGCAAAAGCGAGTAAACAGCGGTTGCTAGGGAACTTGTAAACACGGGTCTGGCAACAGCAGTGCCTATTACATGTGCTTAGCTTAGTAGCCTAGTATTCGATCCCGTCTTAACAACGAAAGTGAATGTAGGCCTCATCGTTTTAAAATATAATTTAAGAAAAAATATATCGTTGAAATAACAACAGCCAACTGACGGCGCGAGTCGAACCAATTCCCATGTGTCCACCCCGCCCTGCGTCTTCCAAAGGGCGCGTCATAGGAAGAATTTGTAAACTTAAAAGTTGTTCCCTTTGGAGAGACAAGCCTGGAAAATCGTTAAATTTGCCTTCACATTCGCGGATTCAAGTCCAACAACTTATTTTCCCATTGCCTCCTCCGTAAGAAATACATTTGAATCGTGGCGACAGCACATAACATCGCATTTTTATAGTAACCATGGTACCAAGACGCATTATCACCACGTCACTGTGTGACGTAATTGAGGTGCAGACTTCTGTGCACAGGAAGTATTGTTGTAATGAGTCAGCCATGGTCGTATACCTGTAGGGAATCCTTGCCTTTGTGTGGGGTGCACACTGCGTGTATGAAAGTAGAGGATAATATTTTCACGATTTTAGTTACTATAGACGGGGTTCGAATTGGTAATCAGATTTATTGCACACTTACAAAACTCGTTACTGCACTTCACAAATCACTATAGGACACGCTAGGTCTTCTAAGTTTGTTACAATTTTTTTAGCCTCTGCTTAGTAGCGGCTTCTAACGCGTGGACGTTTCTCTTCCTCTGGGTTACCAAATTGTCTCTGGCCTCAGCTTCCAGCTTCCCACAGCATCAGCTCACAATGGCTGAATTTCAACAGTTCTTTAACAAACTGTAACTTCTCATTTATCCTGCTTGTAACATCTCTGCACGGACCGCATAGGAAACACCGTTCTGTTGCAGTGCAATTGCTGCTTAGCGATGGCATGACGGATTCCATTTTGGCGTGCGCAGCCATCGGCACGCATTGCGTATAAAACACCATTCTTCTCTTGTTTACGGGTCGCTACCCAGTAATGGTCGTTGTATAGTTGCTTCTTTCGCGGTTGTTGCCTAGCAGCGGGGCTACATGCCACAATATTTTAATGCAGTAATAATTATTGAGTTTAAAATGTAACTAATTTATGCTAGAATAGTTACAGTGTGTTGGGATGCTACAAAACAGGATGTAGCAGTTAGAAGCAGTAGCAGCAGGCAACAGTCGGAGATCCTGTGCCACATTCGAAAGGCGATGACAGGAGTCAGAGAGCTTTGTGGCTTGTATCCGCCAGCCATGAGCTGCCACACCGTCCCTATTACTTGACCAGCTTCTCGGAGACTCTCCGGTGTTGCATGACATGAATAGATTCATAGTACAATGCGCTGTAACCTGTCTCAGCTTTCCTAGCCATTTTGTTTCAGCTCATGGCGCTTAGCCTCAGCGTCCGTGTTGACCCGTTTTGATTCTGATACAGGAGGACTCAAAAATACGACCTGCGATCATGTTCACATAGGCCTGTTAGTGATAATATCTGACATTTTGTTTAAATTCCAACTCTTCGGAGCTGTGTCTTTCAGTTGCTCAGCTACTCAAAAATTTCCCAACATTTTATAGACCCCCAATGTTCATTAGCGTGTTCACAAGAGCCTTCCACTGGTCCATATCCTGAACCAGATGAATCCGGCCCACACTACCCCTTCCTACTTCTTCAAGAGTCATTTTAATATTGTCTTTTTCTAGAAACGTTCGGCATCCCTTTTTTCTGCTCGGACAGCTGTTAACTATTCTACCTTCTGTTGCTTCAGGAGCACACGGTAGTGTAGTTAAGGCACTATGCTTCATGCCAAAAAGTAACGGGTTCGATTTCTGATGAGGTCATTGGATTTTTCAATTGTCGAAATCCTTCCAGCAGCACTATGGCCCCTGCGGTCGACTCAGCGCCAGTGCCACTTTGTCCACCACAAATCCCACTTGACCAGACCCGGACTCGAAGCCGAGCCGCCGCAGTGGGAAGCCACTGACTAACCGCTTGAGTTATGGCGCGGCCTTTACCTTACATTAGTGTTACAATCAGTCTTTCTTCAGGTGGTGGAGCCAATCTCCATCTTGTATTCTTGTACAAGATATGACGTTTCAAAAGAAGCAACAATTCATCAAAACTATCAACACTAATTATACAATAATTGAAAAAAAATTGATGTGTATTGTCTCAGTTCATTGTACAATGTGTAAAATTTTCCTTTTAATAGACTTTTGCTATAAATAGGTGAACCCAATATTCCCGCTTCCCCTTTTCCTCAATCTTAACAACAGTGCACATGCTGCTGCTCTACCGTGCACATCCGTGCTGCGACTGACCCAGTGCTCATTGGCGTAGCTGTGCACAGCTCGAAAGTGTACGTGTGCGCTAGGCCTAAGAGGAACTTGATGCAAAGGAACCTCGGCGTGTACATCTGTTAGCGGTCTTCTCGTTAAGTCCCTGACCTGCATCTTGTGCAGACCGTAACGAGTGTTGATTCTGATTGAACTGAGGCGTAAAGCCCCGCCTCACCCTTACCATCCTCATCTCTGCTCCTTATCAAACTGCGACAGGGTTCTGTCGGCTGCTGTGAGGAGGTTTAGCACGCCCGGGACTGTTAATTTCCGTCTGTCTGTCTGTCTGTCCGTCCGCCCGCCCGTTCGTCCCCTTTTCCGCTCCCAGAGTTTCCTAAGACAATCTTGCCACGTCACTCCGTTAATTACATGGGATTGTTGTGATAGCAATGTCATACGTTGCTATCAGCTAGCTACCTGGCAACTAGATTAGTTTTGCTTGTTTGCAGTCCATCTTCATATTCAGTTAAAGCAAATCGAATTGTATGACGCAGCAATGAATATTCTATTCTGAGGACGCCGTTGTAATAATAATAATAATAATAATAATATCTGTAGGCGCTATATTCCATGATGAACCTTGTCCTCTGTTTTACAGTCTCGTATTGTGGCTTGTGGATCCAGTTTCTAGGCGACGGAACGGTAAACACGTTTCAGTCGCTAAGCGGCAGATTATTAGTAAACCAGAATAGACGATCGATGCTAAGCAACGGCGCGGTAAAAACGCACGCAACAATGGAAGAGCGGTCCATTCCGAGATGTTATAACCGAGACAAGTCAGTTGTCAGCTGACAGTCGGGCTGTGAAGACAGAAGTTTAGGAGGTTTGTGTGAAATGACGGCCTGCGTGAGAGCTAGTTAGTTGAATTCAGTGTTCGGTGGAAAGTCGAGCTGTGAAGATAAGACTTTATGTGTGATATTTGGAGTGTGTGATTCAGTGAGACTGTTATAGTTCGTGTGTTAAAATTTGTTTCCAGGAAATGCCTAGTGGAGGCTGTAACAGACTGAGAACACTAGAATCACAAAGTCAATAGAAAGTCCGTCGAGTGTAACAATGTTTTTAGGTCACTTCTTTATCACATTTGCCTTACATGTTTCGGTTTAATAAAACCATCATCAGAGGCACATATTACAAACACATGAAAACACTGGCGTTGTTTAATGTACACAGTATATATGCTGCGTGGACGCTGCTACAAATGTCGATGTGTAAAAGCACAACACTTGCTAGGAATATTGAATGCACGTTCAACTCTCGCATTCCATCCGAAATTGCCCTCAAATTAAACCGTCAATGTTAAAATATTTAAAAGTTTAAAACATTTGAAGTAAAATGTTAGGGCTCCTCCTTGTTAATTCATCCCGATGATGGGAGATGTCAGCTTGAGGTTGTATAGGCTTATGGTCAGATGTTTCCTATGCGTTGTGTGTTGTGTACATCGGCATTTGTAGCAGCGTCCACGCAGCATATATACTGTGTACATTAAACAACGCCAGTGTTTTCATGTGTTTGTAATATGTGCCTCTGATGATGGTTTTATTAAACCGAAACATGTAAGGCAAATGTGATAAAGAAGTGACCTAAAAACATTGTTACACTCGACGGACTTTCTATTGACTTTGTGATTGATAGTGTAACGGACCAAAAATGAAACAATTCAAAACAATTAAAAAAACACTAGAATGTTTTCTAGTGAACTGTATAGTGTGGAAATAGCGATAGTGTTATGGATATTCGTAGTACGACATGTAAGTGATCAATAAATCCTATTATCCAACCCAAACTCCGTCTAATAGTCAGATCAATTACGTCAATTAAAAAATCCGATGACCTCATCGGGAATTTGACCCGCGGCCTTCCGGGCTGTACCATAGTTCCTCACTAAACTACGCTACGGCGTGCCCCACAGTAATATTGATAATGAAGGAAATTATTGCCTTCTGTATTTGCTGCAGCGGACATGGGAATTGAAACTTCGCGTTTTACGAGACTTCTTGAGGGCAACACTGGATATCTTGTAATCTTCCGCGTTCCATACCGTGAAGTTTAAACGTATTTCATAATTGCTAAATAAATAATGTTGTATACAGCATCCTGAGATTTCCGCGTTTCAAAAACGTTGCAGTCATATGTATCTGATATCTCTCGATAGAGACTTACTGTAGCCGTATAACCGATCAATGTGTCATATCAGGCTCTGCCATTACATAGGCTGTTAGTCATTGGCTTCCGAATGCTG